TTTCCCATCCGGGGCCCCCTTGGGGGGGGGGGCCCCTAATTAGTACCTCTTCTTCTTTTTCTTCTCCTTCTTCTTATTTAAATTATTTATTTTCTTCTTATAATCATGAGCAGTCTCTTCCCTATACACCCGAAGCTGAATATGACAGCAGCAGCAGCAGCAGCAGTAGCAGCAGCAGCAGCAGCAGCGGTAGTAGTAGAAGCAGCAAAAGCAGCGAGAGCGATAGTGCTCTTCTTTATCCTGAATACAGCAGCAGCAGCGACAGCAGCAGCAATAGTAATATAGACAGCAGCAGCAGCAGCAGCAGCAGCAGCAGCAGCAGCAGCAGCAATAGTAGTATTATACTGGAGCAAAATACATATACAAGAACACAAACAACAGCAGCAGCAGCAGCAGCAAGAGCAGCAGCAGCAGCAACAGCAGCAGCAAATAGACGTAATAATAAATATTTATTTTCTTCTTTTTCTTTTATTACTCTTCTTCTTCTTTCCTCTGCATTAACTTTTGTTTATTTAATTACTCGTTGTAAGGATATACAGCAGCAGCAGCAAGGGAGAGCAGCAGCAGCAAGAAGATTAGCAGCAGCACAGCAGCAGCAGCAGCAGCAAGATGATGAAGATGATGATACAACAATGCATGCATGTGACCCTCCTGGTCTTATTACTCATGACGCAGGGGGGGCCCCCATGGGGGCCCCAGAGAGGCCCCCTATGGGGCCCCCAGAGGGGCCCCTAGAAGAAGTATTAGACACACCAGAGAGACCATCGTCCCTACCAACATCAGCAGCAGCAGCAGCAGCAGCAGCAGCACCAACAGTATCTACTGCAGCAACAACAGCAGCAGCACCAACAACAACAACAGCAGCTGGTCCTGCTCATCATACAGGGGGGGGCACAAGAGGGCACCGTAGGGGGCCCCATAGGGGGGGCCCCAGGAGGGCCCCTGAGGGTACAGGTCCTGTACTAAGGAGATCAACACGTAACTCTACTAGTAGGTACGACCGCAACAGCAGCAGCAGCACGGGCAGCAACGAGAACGGCAGCAGCAGCAACCAAGGGAACGGTACAACAGGCAATACAGGACTATCCAGCAGCAGCAGCAGCACGAGCAGCACCAGCAGCATTAGCAGCAACACCAGCACCAGCAGCACCAGCAGCAGCAGCAGCAGCAGCAGCAGCAGCAGCAGCAGCACCCATGGACCTGGCCATGGCCATGGGGTTAAGCGCAGCAGCAGCAGCAGCAGCGGCGGCTGCACAAGTCACGTAAAAAAGAAATTAAAATCTACATTGCATGCAAGACAGAGGCAGAGGCAGCAGAGGGAGCAGGAGCAGCAGCAACAGCAGCAGCAGCAACAGCAGCAGCAGCAGCAGCAGCAGCAAAGAGGATTCCCTGTAGGCTTATTAGCTTTCTTACAACCAGGACGTCCTGTTATTATTAGGGGCCCTGCACCTACATCTGCTGCTGCTGCACCTGATGCTGCTGCTGCTGCTGCTGGTGCACCTGCTGCTTCACCTTCTGCTGCTGCACCTCCTGCAGCAGCAGCAGCAGCAGCAGCAACAGCAGCACCGACTCGTAGGGCCTCACCAGAGCGCCAGTCACGACTCCCTGCTAGGCTTATGCTTAAGCAAGAGAGAGCAGCAGCAGAGGCAGCAAAGGCTCTGCTGCATATGCAGCAGTCGCAGCAGCAGCAGCAGCAGCAGCAGCAGCCGTTGCCTGAGCAGCAGCCGTTGCCTGAGCAGCAGCCGTTGCCTGAGCAGCAACCGTTGCCTGAGCAGCAGCCGACGCCGCAGCAGCAGCCGACGCCGCAGCAGCAGCCGACACCGCAGCAGCAGCCGTCGCCGCAGCAGCAGCCGACGCCACAGCAGCAGCCGTCGCTGCAGCAGCCGCAGATACAGCAGCAGATGCAGCAGTTGCAGCAACAGCAGCAGATGCAGCAGTTGCAGCAACAGCAGCAGATGCAGAAGTTGCAGAAACAGCAGCAGATGCAGCAGTTGCAGCAGCAGCAGCAGCAGCAGCAGCAGCAGCAGAAGCAGCAGAAGCAGAAGGAGGACGAGGGTGACCAAGATGTGGTGATGATAGATGAACAACCAAAGCAACCATCTAGTGGACATCAGCCAGCTGCAGCAGCAGCAGCAGCAGCAGCAGCAGCAGCAGGACACCCGCAGCAGCAGCTGCAACAGCAGCAACAGCAGCAGCAGCAGCAGCAGCAGCAACAACAACAGTACTCATCACCGCTGCTGCAGCACTACCAAAATCTTTCCCTACAGCAGCTGCTGCAGACAACTCATCCCCACCAGGGCAGGGTACTATACCAGCAGCAGAAGCAGTACCAGCAGCAGCAGAAGCAGCAGCAGCAACAGCAACTGCAACAGCATCTGCAGCAACAACAGCAGCAGCAACAGCAACAGCAGCAACAACAACAACAGCAACAACAACAACAGCAACAGCAACAACAGCAACAACAACAACAGCAACAGCAACAACAGCAACAGCAACAGCA